TCCGGTTGTGTGCAAACACGGTGGGTGTATAAACAGAAATCTGAGACTTGCAGTGTTTGTTAGGTTAGCTAACTGCAGCTGAAGAGTCAGACAACGAAGAGCAGAATAAATTAAACATTGTTTATGCTCATATTCTAACTACAGTAGCTCCCAGAAGCCCCTATCTGGACTAGGGTCTCTCAGTGCTAGGTGCTATACAAACATACTGGTATAGGTTCCTAAATAAAATAATGTTAAGATAAGCTCCATTTGTATCTAAAGTGCTTAACAATTTCCTTTTAAAGATTTTGGCAAGTCAACAAGAGGCCTCCATTTGGTATCATACAACTGTACATGCCTATAGCTTGCAGATTAGCCAGTGATGGTCAAAACTGGTACATAAATGCTAGTTTTTGTCAGTAGAGGTGGCTATTTTCACTTGGCACCTGAGGCAGTGAGAGCAGTGTATTTTTGGTACTGATCTTTCTCTTTGAAGTGAAAGCAGTATATCAAATATTTTAAAAAGTAGTTCTCATGACATCATTATGGGCTATGTGTAAATAAACAACTAAAAAGCTGTTCCTTCTCAATGCTCATTTAACATAAGTTACACCAGCGCTGGAGGCTGGTGAAAAGAAAAAGGGGTTAGCAATTGCTAACAAGTCCCCTATGGCGGATTATTCCATAAATGTCAACTATGCACTTCCTTTGAAGCATCCAGTACTAGCCACCATTATCCTATTGTCAGACAAGATATTAGCTATCTTATGTTCATGGTTTTGCCAGTGTCACATGGTGACAGGACTGTTGCATTAAGAATGCACCACATTCTATGCCTTGGGGGTCAGTTTGTAAGAACATGTCTTATTTACTCATTCTGTTCTTTAACATAAGAAGATTGTGGTTTCTTTGACACTTGTTTAATTAAGAATAATCAGCCTCTTATGAGAACATTCTAGGAACACCAAGGTGACAAAGGTGCTCCAGTATCACAGTAAATCAGCATAATCTTAATGACTAGACAGAAAGATTAACCAGTCTCAAGTTTTGAGAAAGAGGCCTGGTGAATCTCCATCTCTTTGTTAAAGGAGAAGAGGAAAAGTCAGAAGCCTTTTTTTTTAAACCTTTTTCTAGGAATACGAAGACTCCTAGAGAGAACGTCTGAATCTACAGAGGTCTGAGTTACAGTGAACCTTCTTTAGGCTACAAGCTTCAGTTTAACCTGGAGACAAGAATATACATCTAAAGGTTCTAACCCAACTATTTCATCTGAGCTAACACAACCAGGAAAAAGATTTGTTATCCACTTGACCCCCATATTCCTCTGCAGGGAGTGAGGTCTCCAGTGAATATACTCCTGTTGGTTGTGCATGTGCTGCAAAGGTTTGAACAAGTTACTACCTATGGTGCAACACCAGGCCATGTTACGGAACTGGGTTTATTTCCCTAAGGGCCAGATGACAGTGACTCTGTGAAGCACACTGGTGAGCAATTCTCTGAAGTCAGTGGGACTATTGGAACTGCTCACCAATGCCAGTAAGGAGGGCAACAGTGGAGATGACACCAGGAGGCAGTATTGGAGACTTCTAAAGTGCTGCTGCAAACAGTGCACCTACAGCACCTTTCTAAACAAAGAGCTCTTTACCATCTATGCGATGTGCTTTCTGGATTAATGAGAGAGGCATAACAAACAGGAAAAACACAGACTCCCATTGTAGACTAGCACTGCAAGAAATAAGCACAACACTAATTGTCACAGGCTAAACTGAACCAGTGACAGCCATGAAAACAATTGAGAAGTGGAGAATAAAAGCTCCCAGGAGACTGGACAACATGGAAAGCATGCTTTGGACTTGGCTACCCCATTTGAGTACCAGAATGGGGGCTAAACCAGTCTTGCAAAATTGCCATGAAAATTTGCCAGTCCAGTAACCAAGTCAGTTCATCCATTCTGATAAGGTAGTCGCTGCATTCAGTGAGTAGAGCAGACTTGCAAAACTGGATCAAACCCTTGTGGGCCCAATTTTGAAGCTCAGGTGACTGAATATGACAATCAAATCTCACCTTGAATGCTTAAATCAGTACTTTGGAACTTGTATGGGGAACTTAAGTTGCTAAGTGCCAGTGGGCATAGATATGGGCCTTCTACTTAAGCTGAGGTTTTAAATCCTGCTGAAGGGATATGGATGAATGAATGACTAATTTTTCAACCTAGTTATTTACTTCCCTGCCCTGAGTACCTAATTTTCATAATGACTGTTTTATCAGTTGTATAGAAGGTAGATGTGTCTGTTTTGACTAACTGGCATGGGATTGCAAGGGCTTTATATGAGCATGTTGTTTCTCATGATGGGCCCAGGCTTCCTGTGAGATTAGGTGAAGTCGGTTTTGGGTCTAAAAAACCCCCACACAAAACCAAGTGGATGAGGACCCTTACTCAGTTACAAGTTTTAGGCTTCCTTTGTAACCTTATCCTTGTGTAGCAGATGACTATTTGGTTGCTATCATCCAGTTAGGTATTCCTACTTGGAGTCTGTAAATGACAAGACTTGCCTGGTCCCAGCTCTTTCCTGTTGAGGTCTGCATGCTTTAAGCATTTAAACTGAATTAGCAGATATAGTATTCTTATTTGGAATCAAGAGCTAGTGTTGAGTGTCTCAAGATGAAATAATTGTCTGGAAAGGTTAGATAGGAGGAAAGTAGGCCTTTCACTTGGCATAGTGAGAGCTGAAGCAATGGATCAGTTAGTTGATTTGTAGTAAACTTAAGTGTTTGATAGAGGTGAATTATTTGTGACTAAGGTCAGGTCTACACTAAATAGTTAGGTATCCCTAACTCATGCAGGGGGTGAGGAAATCTATACCCAAGCAACACTCTAGCAACCTTAACCCCTAGACAGCACTAGGTCAGTGGGAAAGCTTCTTCCACTGATATAGTTACCCTGAGAAGAGTCATTCACCTTTGTTAACCTAACACTAAGCCAGTTTGTGGCATTTCAAAGTGAAATAAGAGAATGCTGTATGGGACTAGTGTTGAGGCATAATGCTCCCTTTCAGAGCTAATTACAAGCCTTACTTTGAATTTTACTATGAACATTAAGGGAATCTAGAATGTTGTAGGCCAAGTAAAAGGTTTTTGCATAAAGACCCGCTGAACAAAGTTGTATGGTCTCATTGGATGGAACCATTTTAGTTTAATACTGTTACAGGAAGTCTTTCATTCAACTTGTCTGGTCTAACTCAGATGTGCAGTAAACAAGATGTGCACCTTACTGCCATACCAGCTAGAGGCCTCCTTTCTCAGTAGTGTGCTCTTCTAGAGATACTTTGCAGTATGGAGCTAGGGCTAGCAACCTTAGTTATACATGCATGCTGGTGCTAGATATCCCTTATGGCAAGGTTTCAAGCTTAGCTGTTTAGTGAAACTTGCATTTCACTTAAGTGGCCTTGCTGAGCTATCTCTGCATGGAAGCCAATTAAGGGATGCTATTCAGTGCCTTTTGGTGGCAGGCTACTTAGGCAGAATTTCAGGTTCAACAACTTCACATTAGAAATTTGCCAGTATTTCCAGCTGCTCTTGTGAGAGGATTGATCACATCTATCTCCTCAGAGAAAAAAGGATCTAACTGCCACATATCACTTTAGTCTAAGTTTGTGCTGCAATTTCTTTTGCTACAGCCAAAAGGTGAAGTTAAATACTGCCATAGGCTACATCATTTGAATGGCTTTGTCCTGAATCAGAAGTGGTAACAGGGCAAATTACACTGAGCTGATGGCTTTGCGCACAAAAAAGTTGTTCAGCAGTTTGAACTTTTGTATTTATATGTAGTCCTCATTGTCTAATTTATGTAATAAAGCCTTCATCTAGCCTTACCCAAGCCAAATGAGTTTCTGAAGCAAATGTGACTTGGCACAAGTCCCACAGGCTTTTTGAGTTGCAGAAAAATGTACTACTACAGAGTGCAATATGACCACACTAGCTCAGGTGTGGGCAAAATGTGACCTAACATTTCTGTGTTGCCTGCCAGGCTCTTTGGCTGCCCCTTGCAATCTCCTGGGGCACCATGGGGTGCTCAGCCAGGCTGCCTGCCATGGCTCCATGTTGCTCCTGGCATGTCTGTGCCCCTTGGGGGAGGGGGCCAGCAGGTCTCCATGTGCTGCCCCCCCCCCCGCACCATCCTCACAGCTCCCATTGGCTGGAAACTGGCCAGTAGGAGCTATAGGAATGGTACTTGCAGACATTGGCAGTGCCTAGAGACCTGCTTTCCCCCCCCACCTACCAAGGGTCATGCAGTGACATCCCAGCAGCTGGATGCTTCTGGGATTGGCATGGGACCATGGCAGGCAGCCTAAGCAGGCCACTGTGCTGCCAGCCAGGAGCTGCCTGTGGTAAGCACCTCCTGGCCAGAGCTTACACCTCACACTCCCTCCTGCACCAGGTCAGAATCCCCTTTTGAACCCAAACTCCCTCCCAGACCCCAATCCTCTGCCCCAGCCTGAAGCACCCTCCCAGAGGTGCCCCCCTCCCCATTAATATAGTAGAAATGGGCAGCCTGGGATGACAAGTTTAGCTGCTATAAGCTATCAGTGTGGGGGTAGGTAGAGATTGCACCATGCCTTATGCTATCAGCAATGCTAAAAACATCAATGAAAGCCCTCAATATGATGGATTTAAGATAACTAGATTTGACTTTTCCAGAAATCCATTCTACAGTTAGCAGCTCCATTCTGAACTGTGCCCTTTTGATCTATGCACTCTACTAATGCTGCAAGGTAAGCAATAAATTGCAGAGATCTGGTAGGTGCCTTAGCTATTTGGGGGTATCTGTTTTGGTAGTAAATTGGGAAAGCTAGTCTAAAAACTAAATTTTCCAGTATGAGTTTTAGCGTAGAAAGAAGAATATTTCCTCTTGCTTTAGGCTCACAGGAAAGGGGCCAAGATCTAAGTGACATATCTAGCTGGGACCCCAGAAAACTGCTCCAATTCCATTGTGTATAATAAGATTCACTGAACATGACTAATCACTTTGACTGTTTTAATTTCAGCATTTAACTTTACAGTGGTTTTGATAGAGAGCATTCATCCTCTGTACACCTGTAAGGTGTCCCAGGCAGGAAAGATTCACAATTCATTCACATACAAAATTACTTGTGTTTACAAATTTTTGGCAATTTATCTGAATAACCCGTTTTCTCCTATTGCCATTGACCCAACCATTGAAAAAGAGTTTACAATAATTTACATTTGAAATATTTCAAAGTGCTTAATAGTGATTGTTCAGGAATATTTACAAGTGGCCTATACAAATATGTACAGGTGGTACACTATAGCACAAGTTGTTCCTGGAATATGGCTTTCTATGGAAAGTGCTTTAAATAGTTGGTCAGTGGTAGTACTGACAAATTCAAGGGTTACAGATAAACAGTAACCATCAAAAGCTGAATTGTGGACAGATATTTACAGAGTTCTGGTAACCTGTATAAGTATTTACACAAGCTTGCTCCACACATACAGGTTTCTTCATTCTTCCCTCTTGGAAGAATCTTCAGCTACTTGCCTGTTACCATCCAAAAGACTGTAGAACACAAGTAGATTGCCAGCTCGAGTATTCAAGCTAGATCGTCATCTGTGCTTACAACGGATATCTGTATGGAAGGAGCAAATGTGTATTAAAAGCAAGTCTTGGGTTGCAAGAAAAAAGTCATACTGTGCAAGATATGTCTTGTCCAGAGACTTGTACAATTTGTATCTTTGCAAGGTTTTAGGTTTCTTTGGAAAAAGGCAAGCCAGAGCTAGGTTACATTAACATAAAACATTCCTTTTTAAAGTCTGACATCTAAAGCCTATTGTGTGTTTTTGGTAGCTGAAGTGATGAAGCCAGGCTTGCTGCTTTGCATGTTACTAGAACCACTAGACATGCTAGAACCACCTGCCCTCCCATACCCCAAAAATGGGTAGGACACTGGCCTCACTTCACCTGCCAATTAATACTGGTGCAAGGGACATTGTAGAGGGACCCCTGCTTAGAGTAACTAGCTTGTTGGCAAGCCAGTCAAGTGTATGCAACAGGGATGTTTGCCAACCTTTGATTTTTCAAGGTTCATTTGATAGCAAGCCCAATGCCTTACAGCTCTATGTACCGGGTATCTGCCAGGAATTCTACATGCTGCCTGGCCATGGTGGCAAGCCTGTCTCTGATGCCTAAAAAGTGGCATATCATAACTGCTGTGACATTAGTTCTTGCCTTGTTCAGCCTAATGCTTTGGCTATGGGTCTTCCTTTGGTCTCCTACTGAAGTATAGGAAGGAGATTGTCATGTCAGGTCTGAAGTGCAGATCATGCCTTCCAACTGTATTATAGGAAGGTTGGCCAAGTTTGTCAGGAGTAACTACCTTAGAAACCAAGACAATATTTGGCCATCTTGAGACTTCAACTACAAAGAGCATGGTCTTCAACTGCCATTTTGAACCTAGAAACCAAATATCTGTACTTACTGCAGGGTAAGTGTGTCCTACTGAACTGCTGTGTCTCCCAATGTCAATAGTGAGATCCTCTTCAGTTGTTTTCAAGTAGACAGGATTGTCAAAATTCATGCTTTTCATATTCTTGTGTTGCCAGTTACGCCACATGAAGTAGCCACCTGCTGCCGCTGCCAGTGCCAGTAATACTGCAATAAAGGAGACAAGTCATGAGTTGCTTGACATTCAGCTAGAATGATTTCTAGTTTGGCTTAGCTCATAGTCCTGTGGTAGTCCAGTTTTAGTTCTTCCTATGGGTGCAAGCCATTGATAGCCAGAAGCTTGGTTTTCTCTCAACTGAATTTTTAGGACAGGCTTGTGCTACTATATTTGTTCTAGCTGCATCCCCACCCTACAATAAGAAAAGTTACCATGCAATGGACTGTTGGTTTTAGGGCTGGTGGAATATGATAGATTAAGTAGGTAGAGAACAAGTGATAATGCTCAAGACTTGAATGACTAGATCTTTACAAGTGCATGGTTCCCTTTTGTATGGGATGTCAGGAACAGGGAGTAGTTTTAAGTGGGCTTAGTTTCAACACTAGTTGATTTAGTGCCTCTTAAAACTGAGTGCCCCTAGCATTGACATCAGAATGTTATGTTCTGCTTTTGGAACCATCTCTATTTTGAGGGACTTATTTTCAGACTTGTCAATCCCTTGGAATGATGTTGAGTTGTACCCAGCCACTCTAAGGTAAGGCCTCACTTATCTGCACCCAAGTACACTTACCCAGAGGAAGAATAGCCCAGGCAGCTGAAGTTCCTTTGGCAGAACTGACTTCTGACACAGCACTGCTGAAATTGTGTCCTAGAAGAGGAATAAATACAATCTCATGTATTCTTTACTGATAGGTTGGCAGAATTTAGTCCAAGGCTAGCAGCTTCCTCAGACTGTAGTGAAGAATCACCTTGTCTCTATGCATTGTTAAGCTAGTGAGAAGTAAAGAATGCATTCTAGAGCATGTAGCCCACTAAGTACTCTTGCAAATTCATGCAACTGCAGAAAGTTGATTTCCTAGGAAAAGAGTCTCACTGGTAATTTTCATGGCCAACATGAGATGCTAGGCTAATCACAGGAGGACACATGCTAGAACTAGCCTTAACACACCACACTACTCACTTGCCATTTGAGATGTGAACGCTGAACATGTTCCCTGTTTGCATGCACAGGTTTAGCATGTTTGTACTAGTTGTCTGAGGCCAGTTTGTATACCCTGATCAGTCATTGTAATGCATGATTGAAAGTGAGTTATTGGGACCAATACCTCCAGGAACTGGTCCAACAGTTGGTGGTTTTTCTGTTGTGCTGGTATCTTTTGTCTCAATGTAAGCCACAGTAGTTCCAGTACCTGAAACTGGTTATAAATCAAGAACCCAGTTAATCCTGAAGTTCTGAAATTGCTTGCTATTAAGCTGTGGTTGTGAGTGTTTAACAGATGGTAAATGGTCATGCAGCTTTTAGATTTTATTGGACCAAGTGCTTGACTGAGGATGTGATAGGTTTACTCTGCTAGGAAGTTGCAATCTCAGCTGCTGGTTTTTTTACCCCCCCCCCCCCCGAAGTCTGATCCTTTGGGAAATATGGTTGGACAGTTAAATATGCCTTTTACATAGAAGCCAATAGCTTGCACCACAAGTTGGATACTCCTAGATATTTTTAGAATCCATCAGTTTTCACTGAAAAGAAAGCTTTGATACAAGTGAACCAGATTTCTGGTGTTTCACTAAGTGGTGCAACAAGTTCAAGTTTTGCTGGGGCCTGCTGGTAGCTATCCAAAGCTGTAAGATGCAAGCTAGGTAGGCACTGTATTTGATAGGACATTTAGAGTTTTTGCTCACTCCACAGTAATCACTGTGGAAACAGTCATACAGGGATGAGTTTTTGGAGTGCTGATCATGAACTCCAGCAGAATGTAACAGCTAGTTCAAGATCACACTGTACAATGTGTGCATGGCTACTTAAAGTTCCTCTGGTTATTTAAGGAGCTCCTACAGGAATTTTATTACTGTACAGAGCTTTGCCTGCCATGGAACTGCAGTCTAAGGACCACTCAATGAGTTAGACTAACTGGGTAAGAGATTGTTAACTCCCAACAGAGCATGAGCCTATTCAACTTTAGCACTTACCTGCTGTTCTCTGAAGCATAACTGAATCCTCCAGTTAAGAATGCTAGACCCCCACCCAAGTCTGTATCCATTAACATTTGATTAGTTAGAGAAGTTACAAGTTAGGCCAGTGGTTCTCAACCAGAACTACATGTACTCCCTGAAAGACCTTTGCATACCCCCAGAGTATATCAACTCCTCTAGATAGTTGCTTAGTTTTGCAGGCTTCATAAGAGCACTAGCAAAGTCAATACAAACTAAAATTTTACAGACAAAAGTGAGAAAACAAGCAAGGTTTTAGTAATAGAGTGCAGTGACTCTTGTCTTTAGGTCTGATTTTGTAGGCAAGTAGTTTAAGTAAGGTGAAACATGCAGTATGCAAGAAGGTGACTCTTGAAGGGGTACAGTAGACTGGAAAAGGTTGAGAACCACTGAGTTAGGCAAGCTGTGTGGATGGCTCTGAAAGTTCCAGCTATCTAGTAGCTCAGGTCACCTCCCCACCCTCGTTCTGATGGAATGCACAAGGTCTGATCACAGTATATGGTGATGAATATGCAGAAGCCAGGCACAGACTTGCAGGTAATGCAACAATCATTGCAAGAGTTTGTATTTCAGTTAGACCACCACAGTTTAAGTCCCAACATAAATGCTAATCATGTAGCAACAGTGGAGCCTTAAGTCTGTCAGATTAGAACATTACTGTAGAAGTCTTGATTGCACAAGAGTCCCTCATTAGGTCCCCTCTACAGTAACTTTTCAATTGTGTCACTATACCTTTACACCTTAGGCCATCATCTTGTAGGTTGTATCCAGTAGGACATATGCAGGCATACTTTGGAGAGTGTTCATTTATCTGGGGAGCAGGCAGGCACAGATACTCACAGCCACCATTCTTCATGGTCTCATCACACCAGTTTGTGCCTGTTGGCACAAGTCAATTTTAAAATCAGACCAGTGCTTTAGTCTTGCAGACAATTGTTTAGCATTGGTACATGGCAGAGGATATACTGACTGTCCATACATGACTGGACAGTTTCTAGGCCATGGAAATCAAGCCATGCAGCAGCACAGTATACAGCTTTACTCTTCAGGGGACCTCTGAACAGCCCCTCTGTACTACCACCTCTACTGCAGTGATAGTTCTGCTTAGTGTGCTTTTTGGTCAGATTTGAGCTAGTCTCCCACGTCACTCCCCTACAGGAAGATTTTCTAGGCTTCTTTAATACCTACTTGATTTAATAGTAACAAGGCAGACATTTACAATGAAAGTAACATTGCCACAGTTTACATCTGTTACCTGATGGTTGAACAAGCTCGTGATACACAATGATATCCTGAGCATCGTTGAGGTTGTTCACTAGTGTAGCCAATTCAGATCCTGTAAATTTATTGGCACCATAGACTGCTTCATTCTCTCCATCAATCCAGTAGACACGGTCCTAGAAGGCAGAGTTATTGCAGCCTATTATGGTTGGGACCAGTTTGGTTTGTCCATCACCAGGGATGGTTAAGTTGTCCCCTGTGCATGGTAAATCTGATTTAGTGATCACAAGTACTCTGAAGTATCAATGCAGTTCAACTAGATTAGGATCACTCAAATTATGGTTGAGGCAATGTGAGGTTCTGTTAAATTTGATAACTAGCCTTAGTGGAATATGTTCACTTTTGTATTGGTTACTCTGCCTCTGTATAGAGGCTACAGTAATCCCATTGCAGCAGCTTTTCTGTAGTCTTCCATTTATTAGTCTCTTGCTGTACACTGCCCCTCCAAAGGGAGCCTACAGTCACAATTCCCTACTGGATGCTTGGAGACTTACCTCAAATATTGTTAGAGCAAGAGGATGAGCAAGAAACTCATGCGATTTTAACACAATCCTACGATCCTGGCCATTCAGATCCACACTGGACAGCATATGTAGCTTTGAATCAAGCCAGTAGAGGCGGCTTTTTACAAGATCTAGGAAGAGAGAGAAGTTGCATTTTAGCACATTGAATCTGAACACAAGCACTTGTTTTACCTGGAAAACCTCACTATTCATATTGCCTTTGGGAGTACTTAACTTTGGGTTAGAGCTGACAAATGCCATCTACAGTGCATATGCATTTGACTTCCACTGGTAGGTTCCCCGCCCATGAAGGAAAAAAGATGCACTAATTCGCATAGGGCAGTGGTATTACCACAGTAGGACCTGGATTGTGGTTCTGAGTGGAGATTGTAGTCCTATAATTAGGACAAAATGTTGGTCAGTGGTACTCTATGTTGGTGCTACCTCATGAATGAGGTGCCATTTTATCTGCCAGCATCTGCTATGGGTCAAGCTACAAGCAAGCTGTCAATGGGGAGGACACTTCAAAAGACTGCCAATGCTTTGACCAAAGCTGCTAGTTTTAGAATTGGAAGAAGCTTGACTGCATAGTGCCTAGAGGCCATGGCTGCCCAATAGCCATGGCTGCTCCTAGTGTTCAATGCCTTCTCATGGTTACCATGCTAGTGTAAACTTCTACAAGTTTTCCAGGGAATCTTGACTTGCAAACTGGGATTTCTTAAAGATCTAGTGATGTCAGTATTTCTGAAAGGCATTTTGGGCTCTCAGGGAAGTTAATTTTGCAAGAACATGAAATACCTAGTGCAATTCCATTAGGCCACTGGATGTCTGTTGTCACCAGTTGCTGTCTACCAAGTCCATTCATTCCTGCCTTTTCTATTTTGGCTGGTTCACCCCAGTCAGACCAGTACATAAAGCTGTAAAGAGTCAAGTCATTAGGCATCCTGCAGTTTAGCTATATTGTAGTTTAAATTATACTTTAACATGCAAGCAGCAATATTAGCTTGTATGTGTTGTCGTTACAGGAAGGTCTAGAATTAATCTATACATTATGGCTAAGCCAAGCCTATTCCAGTGTGCTCAACTTGTCACCTTCAAATGGGTATGTTTTGCAAGCTTTCATCTTATTGCTTTGTAGTTTGCTTACCAGTCTAGGTTAGTATAGTACCAAGATGACTTGGCATTAGTCTGTTGTACAGGGTAATGCTCACCCAGAGAGAGGATCCACAGCTATGGAGGCTGGCTCTCTTAGGCCTGTATTAAACAGGATCTTCCTTTTAGCACCATCAAGACTAGCCACTGAGATACTCTTCAAAGCTGAATCAGTCCAGTAGATGTTCTTGTAGACCCAGTCAACAGCAATTGCTGCAGGACTGTGTACATTGCTTATGATTTTTAAGTGTTTGCCCACCTTATCACGACTATCAAGTGAGGCACTGGAAGAGAAAAAAGGGTAAGATTTAGTCTTTGTTTCAATCACTGTACACTAACGGAGATGCTCCAGTTGAGCTGGTAGCAGTCTGAGGCATATGTACAAATCTTGAAGCAGCTAGCTGCAAAATTGAAAGATTTGTTTAATCTAGACTCAAGATGTTTGCTTCCCTTTGTTAACCTTTAGTTGAACTAAACTTTTAAAGTCAGAACAGTTGGCCTCAAGTTGTGCTCATACTTTGGCTGCAACTCCAATGTCCGTAGGGTACATGCACAGCTTTGAGTAGGAGTATCCTACTCAATAGGAGTATTTGACTTCAAGGCTATGGTTACTGAAATTAGGAATTCTTATAGGAATTCTGAATATATATATATATATATAAATAAATAAATAAATAAATTCAAGCTGTACACAAGAGAATGCTTGTCTGACTTAAGTCGGAGTTTTAGAAGTCTTTAGCCAGTCACTTTAAGAGCTACAACTTCATGAGAACAAACACTGAGGAAAGTTTGAAGCAGGCAGGTTTACCTGAAAATTGCCTTTTGGCTAAAGTCAGCCCAAAAGAGTTTATGCTCAGCAATGTCAGCATCGAGAGCTATGGTGTTTCTTAGCTGCTCTACGAGCTGGAGGTATTCTTTCCTTTCCAGACCAATCTTCCTGATGTCCCGACGATTAGTGAAAATCAGACATGGTTCTTTTCCTAAAGAGGATTTAGAAGTTACTTGCTGTTTTAGTTGACACAAGTCATTCTTACTATATTAGTGTCATCCCAGATATTTACATGCTTTGAGTACAGTGCTGATAGAACAGGAGTCTAGCAGCCACCATGTGCAGAGATAAAGCATCAGCCTCCTTTGGCTCCCCTATGCTTTCACACCATCAGCACTAAGTGCTTTGAGGGACAGGTCTCTTCTGCAGTTTATAGCTCAACCTGAAAGGCTGCCAATGGTGTTTCCTTCACCCCCAGACAGTGTCCTCAATATCTGAGCTTACTGAAGGATTAAAGAGTACCGTGCTCAATTAAATGCCTCTGGAGGATTTCCTGTACCATACAGAGAATGATGGTACAAGTGACTTGTTGCAGTGAGATCTTCAACCTCTGTGCTGTTGAGAGCAGAGGCTGATTTAGCAAGTCTTTGAACCCAATTTGTTGGGCAGAGTTTAATCAGTCCTCTGGTGTATTTGCTATGGGGAGCCGTGTACTGTAGACCAGCCAGGTGCAGTAATTCTGGTGTACCTTTGTCGTAGCCTCTGAAGAGGCTACCTTTGCTTATATTTCTAATGCTTTGGGGCTCCTGATAAATTGAGTATTGCTAGTTGTGCTTACCTACTGCCTTGCACACTCCAGTAGCTAGATCCATTTGATAGCCACGGCTACATTCACATTTGTAGCCTCCTTTTAAGTTAATACAGATTTGACTGCAGATCCCAGGATTCCTGCATTCATCAATATCTAAGAAAAACTGTAAAGTTAGTATTGAAACAATAAGATTAACTCATTTAGGGGGTCAAGATGGTAGTAGATACTTGCCTCCACATGTCTTCCTGTTTATCAGTTCAAACCCAGCTGGGCAGTCACATTCATACCCAATAACTAGGTCTCTGCAGATATGAGAGCATCCACCATTGTTCACCAGGCATTCATTCAAGTCTGGAGTAGAATTAGAAGAGACCCAAAAACAGTTGTGGCAACTTAATTGAAATCTCAGGCCATCCATGCCTGTCTAAACTAAAAGGCTACTAGTTCTAGAATACTAGAGAAATTAGAGTACTGGCCAAGATTCCCTTTGCAACAGACACTTGTTAAGAGTCCTATGGGACATGTTGGGGCTCATGTTATTGACATGTAGCTAGTTCTGCAAGTACATCAAGTGAACCAACTGCAGACTTCAGCTAAGAGAACCTCAGTGCTATTTGGAGCTAGGGTTTCTGTACCAGGTTTTACAGTTATCTGCAGCCTGGTTCATGACTAAGCATAAAGCAGCACATTATGTCATTTCAGTTACGTGCAAGCTTAAGTTAGAGGATGCAGGCAAGCCACTGTTCAGTTCTAACTAGAAGCAAGATCCTTTAGTCTTTAAAGAGAGTCTCCCAACCATGGAAAGTTAGACTAAAGGCACCTGCACTGATTCTTGCAGGCAAGAATCAGACTAATCTCAAGCCTGTTGAGTGACATTTCAAGTAGGTGCCTCACTTACTGCATTCCTTGAGGGGTTCGTCACTCCAGTCCCGGCAGTCCTGCTGCTGATTACACACTTTGCTGATGTCTATACATTCCCCACTTCTGCACTTGAATTTGCCAGATCCAGAGCACTGATTGACTGTCAAGGTAATGGGAGGGAAAGGGGCATTAGATTAAAAAAAAAATCTAATTTAGAAAGCCTGTTATAAACAAGAAGAGTTTCACCACTTAGTTCTGTTCTTACCATTTTTACAGTTGACTTCATCAGTTCCATCTAGACAGTCTCTTACACCATTACATTGCCTGCTACCATGGATACAATTCCCATCTTCACATTTAAACTGGTCTGGTCTACAAGTCCGGGAAGCTGGAGAGAGAAATGCTGCAGAGTTAGAATCCTGAAGGTCTTGGTGACTCAGTTACAGAAGTAATTGAAGCCTTAAGATGTTTTGGGAGAGCCAGTGATTGAACTAGGGAAGAGGTAATGAGTTGGAATTTCTCCCCTTTAATAGAAAGAAGTGGGACTGCTAAACATGGAGGATGGAGTGGAGGTTAAGGATAATCTAGGCATGGCCCAATATCTAAATACTTTGCCTCAGTCTTTAATGAGGAGACTAGGGATAATGGTAGGATGACAAATGGGAATGAGGATATGGAGGTAGATATTACCACATCTGAGGTAGAAGCCAAACTTGAACAACTTAATGGGACTAAATTGGGGGGCCCAGATAATCATTCAAGAATATTAAAGGAACTGGCACATGAAATCACAAGCCCATTAGCAAGAATTTTTAATGAATCTGCAAACTCAGGGGTTGTACCATATGACTGGAGAATTGCTAACAGTTCCTATTTTTAGGAAAGGAAAAATGTTACCTGGGTAACTACAGGCCTGTTAGTTTGACATCTATAGTATGCAAGGTCTTGGAAAAAGTTAAGGACATTGATCTCAATGGTAATTGGGACAAAATACAACATTGTGCCAAACCAACCTGATCCCCTTTGAGAAGGACAGATTTTTAGACACAGGAAATCCAGTGGATCTAATTTACTTGATTTCAGTAAGGCATTTGATATGGTTCCACATGGGGAATTAGCTAAATTGGAAAAGATGGGAATCAATATGAAAACTGAAAGGTGAATAAGGAACTGGTTAAACGGGGACTACAACAGGTTGTACTGAAAGGTGAAATGTCAGGCTGAGGGAGGTTACTAGTGGAGTTCCCCAGGGATTGGTTTTGGGACCAGTCTTATTACTGACCTTGGCACAAAAAGTGGGAATGTGCTAATAAAGTTTGTCATCTGCAAAGCTGGGAGGTATTGCCAATACAGAGAAGGACCAGGATATCATACAGGAAGATCTGGATGACCTTGTAAACTGGAGTAATAGGATGAAATTTACTAGTGAAAAGTGCAAGGTCATGTATTTAGGTAATAAACAAGAATGTGTTATAAACAGGGGACGCATCAGTTGGAGTAACAGAGGAGGAGGACCAGGACCTTGGAGTATTGGTTGATCACAGGAGGAGTATGAGCTGCCAATGTGATATGGCTGTGAAAAAAGCTAATGTGGTCTTGGGATGCATCAGGTGAGGTATTTCCAGTAGAGATAAGGTGGTGTTAGTACCATTATACAAGGCACTGGTGAGACCTCATCTCAAATACTGTGCAGTTCTGGTCTTCCATGTTTAAGGAGGATGAATTGAAACTGGAACAGATACAGAGAGGGGCTACTAGGATGATCTGAGGAATGGAAAACTTGTCTTATGAAAGGAGACGCAAAGAACTTGGCTTGTTTAGCCTAAGCTAAAGGCAACTGAGGGGAGATAGGATTGCTCTATAAATACATCAAAGGAATAAATACCAGGGAGGGAAAGGAATTATTTAATCTCAGTACCAATGTGGACACAAGAACAAATGGATATAAACTGGCCATCAGTAAGTTTAGACTTGAAATTAGATGAAGGTTTCTAACCAGAGGAGTGAAGTTCTGGAACAGCCTTCCAAAGGGAGCAAAAACAAGACATATCTGGCTTCAAGACTAAGCTTGATAAGTTTATGGAGGGGATGGTATGATGGGATAGCCTAATATTGGTAATTGATTGGTATTTGACTATTAGCAGTAAATATGTACAATGGCCTGTGATGGGATGTTAGATTAGAATTCTGTGTGGTAACAGATCCCACCTTTCTTGGGTGTCTGGCTGGTGAGTCTTGCCCACATGCTCAGGGTTTAGCTGATTGCCCTGGAGGAAAATTCCTTCCTGACACCAAATATGGCAGATGGGCCAAGGCCCTGGGTTCCGCCCCGCCCCCCCTTTCTCTGCAGCATGGGGCACAGGTCAGTTGCTGGAGGATTCTCTGCACCTTGAAGTCTTTAAACCATGATTTGAGGACTTCAATAGCTCAGACATAGGTTAGGGGTTGGATACAGGAGTGGGTGGGTGAGAGTCTGTGGCCTGTGTTGTGCAGGAGGTCAGACTAGATGATCATAATGGTCCCTTCTGACCTTAAAGGGTATGATTGTACAACAGTTACTTACGGCAGTTTGTTTCATCACTTCCATCCTTGCAGTCTGAGTCTCCATCACACCGCCACTTCTTGTGAATACATTCTCCTGAGCCACATTGTACTTCACTAGGAGAACACTTCACAGGATGGGCAGGCTGGCGGCCACATTGCTCTAGAGATTCATCTGACTGGTCTGAACAGTCTGCGTCATCATCACATACCCAGCTAATAGGGATACAACTAGAACTTTTACATTGAAATTCATGTGCTCCACAAGTAGGTGGTGTGCAGTCCAGTTCATCACTACCATCACTGCAGTCATCCTGGCCATTACAGACAAAGTTTTTGGAGATGCACTGCCCACTGGAGCAAGTGAACTCTGCAGGGCTACAAGTTACATTGCCTGGTAATAGAGAGGGAATTCAATTAGTGTCAGGATTTTAGAACTATGAACTATGACTGCACCATCTGGTTTTCTACAGCAGGTTCTTAACTTAATTGACCTAACTCAAAAGTTAGTCTTCTACAAAGGGGTAGTGGTGAAGATCACTTATGCAAGTATTTATTTCAGAAAATTCTAGTTAGCCACTGCAGTCATTAAAACTATTGCCATTCTGTTTGTTAGGTTCATGTCCCATATTTGGAAATTCTATTCCTCTAAATCTATGCAAGCCTTTACTCTGAAGCTGGGTATAGTGTCTAAGTCTTAGAGACACTTTTACAGCATCAACTCAGAGGACATTTGTTTTAGAATGTGAGCTTCTTGCACCTCCTCTGTGCATTTTGTTGGGATGGTTCTTGAACATCTGTGACTGGAGGGCAGTGGGGAAGAGTAGGGAGGAAGCTCTGCTCTGCACACTCCTTGAAAGTACAGGCTAGGGGAAGCTAGATCGGTAACATCTATGTTAGAAAATAAGCTGCTGTCTAAATCTAGAGATAGAGCCCCTTTTAGTACATGTTTAGGAGGTGGGGAATTTGTTAGTGTAGCAGCTAATGCCATCTGCTACGAGGCTTTATAGAACAGCAGCTTTATGAAATCCAAATGACAGGGGACTAGCCACCTGAGTATTATAGTACTAAGTGGATCACCACTAAGCAAATGACATTAGAGAGCAAAACTAATGAACTGTATAATAGTTAGGATGGTCCAACAAGTTAGTTTTGCTTTGAGTCTTGAAAAGAATCATTGCTATTTCTTTTCATTGCTTGGAGTGAATCCATTTGGAGAGAGAATGGATTACTACTTAACCACTGCTGAGAGCCTGGTAGTTGGTACTCAAACTATAATTCAGATTTCATGTTAGGAGGCAATGTCTTTGCTTAGAGGCACTTATTTTAGCCTTTTAAATTTGTCTGATATTAGACCCATAGTAGCACTTACAAGTGTAGTCCTCACCATACAAATGAACAAGTTTTAAAGTCACCTTTGGCAAGTTCAACTGAATAGGACTAGAAGAGTAGCATTTGATTGTATGATGTGACTACTAACAGTCACTCCAGTTGAAGTTATAGTTCTAAGAGCACCAGTTGGCTATTTTACATAGCTAGTTCATCTTCAGGCCAAATACATTTGAAAAAAAAAGCTATACAGGCTACCATTTGTTTCTTCCCTTACCACAATTCTCTTCATCTTCACCACTGTCACAGTCATTTTCACCATCACATTTCCAGGACAGAGGGATACACTGAGTTGATCGAGGACCACAGCTGATTTCATTTACCCGGCATGTTCTCATGTCTATTGAGAAATGATTGAGAGAGGGGGTCAGTTTCAAGAGCTACTTAGGAGGTCTAGAGTTTAGGTTTTAAAGATTCCACTGAAAGTGTTTAAATTCAGATATTGCTCTTTGTGAAAGTGTAAAGCTGCAGTAAGTTCACTGCTGTTTTCACTGTCCATCCCAAGTGAAATGTAGAGTCAGTTCTAATACTTTGACCATTAGAAAGGTCCTCAGGTCATTCTAGGAGAGGAAGAACTGTTTTATCTGGGCTATGGAGGTTACCTTATGAATTATGCTGATGTCTATCTGTATGGCACATGTTATTTTAGAGTTAGTTTCATTCTCAGAGAAGGAGTGATACAGGGTAGGGTTAAGTTAGTTAAGAAGGCAGTGAAGTCTGCCTGTGCAGTCCCATGCAAATGTTTGAAATTCTTAGTCTTTCCCTTCATTAATACTGTAGCAGTGGGTGCATGAACTGACTTTCAGGTGCAGCCAGGGCCATGAGATACCCTTTAGAGTGCTGTATTCACAATCAAGAGGGCTAGAAACTGAGTCAAGGTCTTCTATTCTGGTTCTCATAATAGAATTGGAATCTACAGAATGCATCAAGGGCAGGAGGACAAGACAATTCCAGGACATGCTCAAAGATCTTCAGACATTCTATTACAGACATCCCTGTTATGTTTCCACATAAAAGGGAATCTTGAGCAGCCTTAATAGCCCACAGGTCTGGCTAAGATTACAAAGAGGTAATGGGGGCTTTATGCAGATAAATAGATTAATTGATCAGATACTGAAGTCTCTCCCTTGTTCCTGATGAGATAATCCCTAACTCTGAAGACTGTTCTTTGAAGGGGCTTTCAAGTAGAAAGGACAATACCCTAGTAGCCTGAAGAGCTCAAGTAGTGGGTATATGCAACTGATTGCTTATAATAAGAAGCTAGTTTTAAAACCTAGGAGTTATGATGACAGGGTACAAGATGGACAGTTTTTGGTTGAGAGATTTAATTTGCTTGTCAGCACAATGATTGGCTCACTTACGGCACAGTTCAGGGCTTTCATCAGATCCATCTTCACAGTCTGGGTCCCCATCACACTGCCACCTGTTAGGGACACACTGACCACTGTTGCACACAAAGTCAGATTCAGCGCAGGTCTTCTTCACTGCAAAGGAAGAGTTCCAGTATGTTTAAGTACAATTATATACTAACAGCCAATCTCCTAGGATAAGAACCTAGGATGCCACAAGCATTTTACTGCAAGCCTAATGGATGTTTAGGATACTCATCTCCTGTGTTATGGCATGAACTTCTAGAGAGTTGTACCAATTAATGTTGGCTATGAGCAATGAGATATTATGGTTTACAGTCTTTAAAGAATTGCCACTCTGAGCATTATCTTCACTCCTCCCACCCAAAGCTGCTTTATAAAGCACTAATAGTTTGAGTGTATTGGATGCAAAGCAAGTGGTCTTTTCAAAGAATTAAGCTATTAAAAGATTGCAAGACTGACACCTGCTTGTATCCATTTGTAATGGAATGCACAGATACAGCAATCCTGCCAATATTTGTGGCCAACAAGTCATGAGTTGCTCATCAGTGGACATCTTAGATTTAAGTCAAATTTTAGAGTCTAGATTAGGTTGAGGTATTAACAGGCAAGAATTCTAAGTTGCACACAAGAGGGACTTCAATAAAGTCAGACTGAATTAGAGTGGTTTTCACATCTGCATTACAGTTTAAAATGTATATACAAGTACTTAGTAGCTTGGGTGGAAAGAAACAGCTTTTGGTCTTTCTTGCACTTCAACTCTTTGCTTTCAAGAGGCCAGCCTCAGCCCTGCAAGAGAAGTCTAGTTTGTTAGTGAAGTTGTTACCTTTGAACATCAGTTCTCATTTCAAGTTAGGGGAAGGTGAAGGAAGTTACAATCTGTCAATATTTGTTTCAAGTGAGAATATGGCATTGACAGTCAGAATAATCTGACCAAGATGTTTGCTGAAAAACAGTAGGTGTAGCAGAGATGTACAGTCACTGGGAGTGATACCTCAGTGATTTGAGCATTGGCCTGCTAAACCCAGGATTGTGAGTTCAATCCTTGAGAGGGCCACTTAGGGATCTGGGGCAAAAAAAAGTCAGTACTTTGTTCTGCTAGTGAAGGCAGGGGGCTGGGTGGGATGACCTTTCAGGGTCCCTTCCAGCTCTATGAGATAGGTATACATCACTGTAGGCTACATGTTTGCAAGTGGATGAAATTTTAACTGTCAACTCTTGCTTTTGAAGAGCTCAGTCTGCAATAGATTACAGTGTTCCTCTTTTGCACAGGAAATTCAATTCAGTCCTTTAACAAATGCAAGTATTGTATTTAATTAGTGATTAGCCAACATGATTAGACATGGTGGAAATTGGATACCAGGGGAATTTAATACTACCTGTTGTGCTAGAGGAAAGGAAATGGAGGCTGTAATCCATAATGATTATTTCACTAATATTAATCTACTATGATTTGTTATTTTAGAAGAGAACTCAAGAGTTAGGTTTAACAGATTCTTGAAGGCAGAGTTGCATTGCAGTAGTAAACTGGTTTTAAGTTGAAATATTTAGCTAGTTCAGAGGGACACTGCAGGAGAAAGCAAGAAACAGCATTCTAGCTAGTTTTCCCCTTTTCAGCTCCATGTGTGTCAAGGGATTGTGACAAAATGGTCTAGGACTGCACAGGCAGCTGTAAGGAGCTCAGGACAGAAGCAGCTGACTAGTTGTCAGTTTCTTTGTACAACCCTCTAAGAGGGCGAGATTGTCCCAGGACAAAGCAAGAGAGCTATGGAACACCACTGCAGAGAGACATTTGGAAAGAGGGGTACCCCTAAAGATAGCCTTATGGGGCAGCCAATGAAGTACTTGGCTTGTTGATATATTTTAAGCTGTCCAACCATCTAGGGTAGGTGTTCCAGTCATATCAGAGACTGACAGCTCTCTGCTCAAGTTTGTCACCATCTTAAGTGATGTCTTTATAGCCATGGGAGGGGGGTCAATTACCTTGACTAGACAGAACAGGTTGCTTTGAGGTTTAGCTAGAAGGGCACTATAGCTGCCTGGACTCAATCCTGCAGAAGCCTGAATGCAAGTTTTAAAGCTACACCTGTGTGAGAATGCAATATTCTTGAACAAGACCAAGACGGCATTAGATTTGGATATCCTATAAAACCCTGGTTTATGAGCCTGTTGACTACTGCCTCCCTCTGCCTGGCTCACTCACTACTAACCAGATATTAGCATTAGTGGAACTCTTCTCCTAAGAGACACTTTGTTATGCCCCACCAATGGAGTTTACTCAAGGAACACACTGCAGTTGCACAAAGGCTTACCACAGGAGCTCTCATCACTGCCATCAGAACAGTCTTCATCTCCATCACACTTCCATAACAGAGTTATACAGCGTCCATTACTGCACTGGAATTGAGATTCTTCACATTTTGCTCTTGCACCTTGAATTAAGAAGGTCAGTTAGTCAAGCTACTATAGCTACATTTTACTGATATCAGTTTAGCATTGGAAGCTTTTGCTCAAGACAGTGGGACAAGAACTGAATCCCTTGTTTCACAAAGACTGCAGAGGTCATTAAGAATGCTTATATGATGTTCATTAGCAACTAGATCAGTGGTTCTCAACCAAGGGTACATATACCCCCAGGGGCACATCAACTCATCTAGATATTTGCTTACTTTACAGCAGGCTACATAAAAGCACTAGCAAAGTCAGTGCAAACTAAGATTTCATACAGACAATAACTTGTTTCTATTGCTCTAGGTGCTGTACACTGAAATGCAAGTACAATATTTATATTCCAATTGATTTTATAATTAAATGGCAAAAAGCAATTTGTCAATAATAGTGTGCTGTGACACTTTTATTATGTCTGATTTTGTAAGCAAGTAGTTTAAGGAAGGTAAACTTGGAAGTATGCAAGACAGATACCTGGAAGGGGTACAACAGACTGAAAAGGCTGCAAGCTACTGACTTTAATCACTAATAGTGCATCATTCATGTCTGTTACTGTAGTTATATTTCAGGCCAGTGAAGTGTCATGAGACAAGGTTATTGACACCACATTTGAATCAGGAATTTAGTGGAGAAGTTCACTGAAGTTCAGCTGAGATGCCAAAAGGCCAGAGATTTAGAAGGATGCCATTGCTAAAGGACTACAGTCTTTGTCTTGAAGTTTGCAAGACAATACTTGTTTCAGGGATTTTTTTAGATCCAGGACATTTACATACAGATGTAAGAAAGCCTCTTTTCATGGGCCTTTTTTACTTAGAAGCAGAAGTAGGTAGAGTGTGGGAAAGATTACCTGCTCTGACTTCAAATGTAAGAGTGTCTCACTCTGCATCTCTGAACTATACAAGAGTTCTTCTGACAGTTTGGACAATATTTATTAAGTAGACTGTTTGGCCAAGTGTGGTATGGTCAGGTTTACTGGGTTGAAATCCACTAAGCCTAGGAAGTTTCAGGGATGACTTGTCACATCCAGTTATGTTTTCCATGCCAGTATCTCATGTTACCTCACTCTATGGCAGAAATAGACACGGTTTCCAACACAACACATTTGCCCTTGCAACAAGGCTGACAGCTGTGGCAATTCATACATGTGTGTTCCTCAGTTAGGTGCTTTAGAAAGGAGCCCAGCCTATTTTAAATCTGTGACAGCATATGGAGGAAGGCTAGGTTTCAGCTCTATTGTGGAAGCTTTTAGAAGAGTTTCCTACTATATGGAAATTGAAGAGTCTGGCAATAGTATGTAGGTTACATACTCTGCCGGTCAATAGAGCTTCAAATCCAGGGCAGCAGAACAAAGTCTTTAAAAAAAAAATCCACTAGGTCTCCCAACTGTTGAGCCAAAGGCAACCCCCATGATGCTTTAGTGAAAGCCAGATATGGTGTTAACACCAGATAAAAGCTCACCTTTCTAACAGGTCCCTGTAAGTTACATGTTTACAGGGCTACCACATCCTTACTATGGGGACATCACCCCAGCATCAAAGACTACAGCTCTGAAACCAAGTTCAGTTTTAGCATGTGTTTATGGCTAAGGAATAGGTGCACATCCTTCTCCCCAAGACAACTCATGCTTAGGGTGGGGAGGGGACATAGGATCTTAGTATTAAGTTACAACACTTAAGTTTTAATCATGACAAGTTCAAGTATAAGTGTTGTGCCTCATGCAGACCCGGTCTGTGCATGGGCAGCTCAGTTAGATTGCCTTTATTTGGCATTGGTTTTAGTTAGAAGTGTGTAGTAATAGATTTGAAGGCAGTCCTTCAAAAATCCAAAGCCATTAGTTTTATTTTCTGTACTAGAATTGTTTGCCAAGTGTTTGAGTTAGAGAAAGATGGGTACAAATGTTTACAGCTCTGTTGCACTATGGGTATCAGTTATGATTATGTATTCTGTTTGAAAGCTGGAATCACTACAGCTTTCTGTACATGTTTCATAAGTAGGTTTTCCCCAATACAACTTGTTCAAGTGAAGCTGAATGACCCTATTCCTCATAGGAGAGTCATATGACACACAGACACTGTTTGAGATCAAACCAGTATCAGCTTCAGTACAGCAGCAGTCTCTCTAGCAGTTGCACAAGCCTTGTCTTGTGTGCTTACATGCATTACATTTAGGTTTTAAAGTCTAGAGGAGTGACTATAGCATGATGCAAGACTCCTGCTTCTCCCTCATTTGTTGCATCATTTGAGGAGTTATTTTCTTGGAATAAAGGCTAGAAGGCATCTATTTTTAGCTTTTACAAAAAAAGCCACACCATTTGTTTGCAATCTATTCTAGCAAGAGTAAAATGCAAGCCAGTATACCAAGTCTCTTCAATTATACCACAAGAGCAGTCAACCTGCTGACTTCGTTTGCAGGAAGTCCACTGCATAACATGGGGTGGCCATCAACTTGCCACCAGGTGGTCCCAAAAGTACTGGCAGAACAAATTGGGTGAGGGCAAGTGCAATCTCACCTGCAGAACATCTAATGTTGTCAATACATGCTGTGCTTCCAAATGTCAGCCTATATTAGGAAGCCAATGTATTTCAAGTTTTGTATGCAAGTTGTCTTTAACAGTTTAAATATCTTTCACTGCTACAATGTCTGACAAGCAGATGAAACAAGATCAATTTTTGATTAGATCTGTCAAGACAATGTCTCATTTTATAGGATGTGTTACAGTAGTGAAATACCAGTTAAACTGAACTTATTTAATAGTCAGATCTTTTGCTATGATTATCCACTCCAGCCTTGCATGTCATGCAGAAGTTCAGCCAGTGAAGGGGGCAGGTAGTCAGAAGCAAACATACTATCTTCATCTGCCCCAAACAATAGCAACAGGTCCTAATCTAGCAGGAGATAGGTCTCTAGTGTTTGGGACCCTTCATTCCCATTTTGACATGGGATCATTCAAGGAGAAAAAACAAAAACAAAGTTTTAAATACTACATTCAGAAAGCATGCCTAGTTGTAGATGCAACATCTACATAGATCACATTACTGCAACTCTAGTGACATCTGCATTATTCTACATAAGTCTGCATTTAAGCATTTAACTCCAAGGGAAATTTAATCACTTGATACTTCAGTTTAATCACTACTGCTGCAGTGATTAAGTTCAGGATTGCAAGTTCATTTGATTAATAGTACTACTAATCTGTAGGAACAAGTTAGAGTAGTTAAACTTTACTTTAAGGATGTGTTTTGTTCCAAAAGACTTCCAGTTTTAGGGCTCTGAACCAGCTACACTAAACAGCTGCTCTTCAAATAACTTGATTTATAGTTATTTTGGCACTAGAATAGGAATGGTCTACACCCCAAATTAAGCACCAGTCTGTATTTCTGTCTTTAGACTCAGAAGTACTTGTCCTTTGCCAAACACTGGGGCAGTGGCAGAGCTATCCTTTACCTTGGATGTCTTCCTCCCCTCCCTGATTTGTTACATAGAATATCAGGGTTGGAAGGGACCTCAGGAGGTCACTAGATACTGCTAGCTAATGCTTAGAGTTTGCATAGTACTTTGAGAATGGGTTCTGTGAAGTGCAACAAGTAGTTAGCAACAGTAACCTAGAAGCAGAAGTTGCTGATTATATTGGGACACATAGGTATGAAAGGGCAAGATCACATCTTTAGTGTTTTGAGTTTGAGTTCAAGTTCTTAGAGATTACAGATCATTACCATTTGACTCTGAACCTGGATGCATGAGCCCCTTTACCTTAAAGTTTGTTCATACAGTATGTCTATATCGAACACATTCCCACAAGTCTACATCCCTGTAGCAGGAAGCTCAATGAGAAATATTACTGTTGATTTGCCTTTTCCTTAAACTAGGCAAAGGAGACTTACTTGCACCATGTACATATTAGAAAATCACTCAAGTTAAACTGTCGGCAATGTCTAGTCCTATACCTCCACTCAGAGGAGATGTGTTACTTGTTTCAAAAACAGTGAAGTAGTAGCATAAGCTCTTCTGGGCAAATCACTGCCTTGGTTCCTATTTAAGGGGCTGATTACTTGAGATCAAGTAGTCTGATTTTTCAGATAGTTTGGAAAAGCAGAGCTAATTTCATCTGAGGCTGTGATATTGCTGTAGTGGTCAGCTTAGTTGGTTTTCCCTGAGGACTGTCAAGTATCAGTCTGGAAGAAGAGTCTGTTCTTGGAAGTGACAGTTATGAGGTCCAAATAACCTGATTACAGTAAGAACCAGAATTGGGGATCTGTCAAAGTAGGCTTTTAAAAAAGTAATGGGTAATTCCCTTCAGGGTAGTTCTTACCCAATTGCTTTAGCTGGTTTCAGCCTAAGCCACTTCAGTTGTAGTTGTGCATAGCTATGCCCCTTCATTTTTGGTATTTACTAGTTTTCTGAAATTCAGTATTTTTTTTTTTAAAAAAGCTACTTTTAACACTTAACTGATTTTCACCCAGATTGTCTTTTCTAAGACCCAGCCTTCCCACAAGACTTCAGCATGTCTGTTTCTTCTGCACAGACAGCAGGGGAGTGAAATGGGCAAGGAGCTGGGTCCTGGCAAGTGAGTGACTGCTGCAGCAACAAGCCTGCAGAGAGCCAAAGCCTGCACCCATTAAATACTGCTCCCCCACAACCAGACAGCAACCCTTTCTGACCCCAGACCTTCAGCACAGCCCCAGGCAGGAGAAGCTGAGAGGGCTGAGCTGAAGGGTCCCACCCAACCATCTGTTTCTTTTCTGACATTTGGCACATTCCCATCTGCTTCCTTTGCACGGTGGGCAAGCAAGATTGTTTCCAGAACCTGCTTCCCACCCAGGACTTGTTGCTGCAGCATTTAGGAGGCCTACATGGAGCAGAAGTCTTCAATTACTATATTGAGTATCCCCTGTGATTGTCAGGCACTCCCATTTCTGTAGGGGAAACTGTGACCCTCCCAAATCTCCCTCCCACACACACCCCAGTTGAGCCCTTCTGCTTGCAGCAGGCTCCCAATGCTTTTGGGAAGGTCATGCTTGGTCCATGATATCACTGTTACACCACTCAAGATTGGAAAACAACAGATGTTCATTACTACTTTGTATATGGTGGAGGGAGTATTACATGCTCTTCCCTTTATCCCTGGGAGCAGTTCTAGCTACTTCATGTTTTCTCTTTGGCAGAGTGTTTGAGTGTCATCTCAAGTGCTGATACTGACTAAGGAGATCTGCTTGGAGGTGTTGACTCTGTTCCTTTCCTGAAGTAAGAAGTAGTTTACTGCCAGTGTCAGCAAGGCCTCAGAGTGGCATTTTCTAGAGTGCATTCTCCCCCAACTAACCCACCATTTCCTGATCCTAAAAATCTCTCAAGTTAACTAGTACATTCTTGCATTTGTTGCTGTCTGGCAACTGTAGTCATCATAACAGGTCTGGTGAACCCTAATTGACGGTTGGTTGCCAACTAGACATCAAATCAAAACAATAGCTAAGGTGTCATTGCAAATGTTAATGTTTTGGTTAAACAGCTGTAGGCAAATTAAAAAAAAAAGACACCTACATATGGGCTTAAACACTCAGGATAATTAAACCCAAGTTGTTCTTTCAGGTTTGTGACTATAAAGTCAAAGTTCACCCCTCCCCCACAATGCCAACCAAAAGAGCATTTACACAAAAATAGAAACTGCAGTTGGCCTGAGCTGGGGCCAGTGTCACTAGCTACTAGAGCAACACAGGAACCACCAGACAACTCCTGAAAGATACTATATAGCCAAATACTGAATGGGTATTAGATAGCTCATAAGTACACCCTACAGTCTTCTTCCCCCTCCCCCCCCTTATGCAAGCCAGCCAGCCTGCCTCTTTCCCCACACCCAAACATCATCCTACAGCTGGAATAAGGAGGCAGCCAAGTATAATTGGCCCCAATTATTGGGTGACAAGTACTATGAACCTTACCATGCTTCTTGGAGGGATTGGAAATAGAGTGAAATCCTGTAATGGGCTCTTACAAAACTCAAATCATTTCCTCAACGTCTATTGTTTGGATGGCAAGCTAATAAAGCCATAGGGATTGGGGCCCACCTACCACTGATCCACTGCAAGTGGATAAGCATTCCCCTCCCACGTAGGGAGTGAGGGAGGGGTACTTCCCTCCAGAAGCTAGTCCTCTGCCGATGTCTTCAGGCCACAGGGCTCCGACTTTCCCATGCTCCTGCACGCTCAGCAGCGACAAGATCCGTGTGCTTGTTACTCAGCTGCTGAGCTATGGAGGAGGAGCAGTTCCTCCTCCACTCTTTCCCTGCGTGGCCCTCCCCACCTCCCAAACACGGCTAGTCACGAGCCTGCCTGAGAGCGCTCGCGCGCCCTGCTCTCCTCCGGTGGGACCCTCTGGATGCAGCAGCTCAGTAACCTACATGCAGTTTCATTGAAGGCGTGATTCCCCAGCACGCGCCGGGGGTGGGAAAGGAACTCAATCCCCATTGTCCCCGCAGAGGTGCCTCACGTGAAAACGGGCTCAGTGTCAATTCAACAGCACGCGCCCGCCCCCTACCCGCCCCGGCTGCAGGGCCGAGGCACACAGGGGAGGCGGGGAGGGAAAAGGGACACCAAATAAAGACGCCCCGAGCCCCACGATCGGTACTCACCGCGCACACAGCCGCGCTCGCCCAGCAGCCAGCAGAGCGCCGCCAGGAGCCAGAGCCCCCGGAGCGGGGACGTGCCCATCGTGTGTAGCAGCTGCTGCGCGCACAACAAGTTAGCAGTCTGGGCGGGGGGAGCTCCCCGGTTTTCGGCACCTTGCCCGGCCGCCTGCAGGGAAGGCAGCTCCGGCAGGAAGGAGGGGAGCGCGCGCACCGGCCCGGGCTAGTGGGGAGTAGCGAGCCGGAGACATGCACAAGGGGGAGGGTGTCCCCGCGACGCTCTTATACGAACCGCCCAGCTCCTGTGTGCGGCGGCCGCCCGGTGACTCACGGGGGCCCCCGCCAGCCGCTGGTTGGCTCTCGAGCGCCTCCAATCCCTGCCGCCTGCCCTAATTTCCTGATCCACGCAACCTGCCGATGGCAGCTGTGCTCGCTCCTCCATCCCGCCGGGCGCTGCTGCTGGGCAAGGCAGGGGCACGGCCGCACAGGTGAAGCTGCTGCGAGCTGCTGGCATCACCTGTGCGCGAGCGGCTGCCGCAGTAAGTAGTGACTTCCCGCCAAGGGGCTTCCTGGGGGGCGGCCGGGGGAAAGCGTTGGGGGCACCTGTGCTTCTGCATATTAACATAGACTTGATGGGAGGATGGGCGGGGAATGTATGCCCCGGCCGGGATGATTTTTGGACATGTCTGTGCCTTGCCCTCTGTGACAGGGACTGATCTAGAGTTATGATGGTTAATGACTGTTATGTTATTATTAACAATAAGCATCAGTAGAGATCGCTCATCCAGGTTTCTAGTTGGTATATTTAAAAGCTTGCATATAAACATGGACTCACTCTAGTGAAAACTGAGTATTTTCTGAAAATACAGTTCCCTTTGATTTTTTGTTGCATCCATGTAGTTTATCCTCTGCAACAGAAAGCCACCCAAAATAACATATTTCAGAGGAAATTTCCTTCTTCTGGGTTCTCTCAGCCATCATTCTAGTTTGCATATTAATAACAGAGTATATTGAAATTCACTTTGCACATTGATTTTTCTCCAAATAACTGTCTTTTAGACTTCTATTCATGCATGCATGTACGCATACATGTGGTTTTCCTTCTGTAATAGAATATGACTTAAAATAACACATCCCTACTACTGAGGAAGAAAATTGCTACTTCTGCATTCTCTCATCAAGGATTATAGTTAATTGCTAATTATACAAAATTATATGTTGAGGTCCTAGAATTAAAATCTTAACCTTTTATTTAAGGGGAAGAATGGGTAGTTTTATTCTTCTTTTGTTGACTTTCTAACATTCAATTATAAGTCTTTGTGAAAGAAAAGAGAGATCTGTATAAAACATATTTTTTATGGTACTTTTAGAATTTATAGTTAAGTGTTAGTGCGCCTCTGTTTTCTCATCCACATATTTTAGTAGATCTGTTATTTTATGTTAATATTATATACCAGGCTATTAATACCTTGGTGAGGGCAGAAAGCGCCTCAAGCTGCTGAATCCTAAAGACAATGGAAAGAGGTGGTTGCTATTTCAGTCTTTTGACATTAAATGCCATGCTAAATCTTTCTTAGCCTACATTTAAAAAATACATGTTTTTAGAGCTGTGCCTATGAGTCCATTGATGAAACAGTATCTCTTAGTTTCTAGACTTCTTGGATATTGTAACATTTCCCTGTATGCTGTTTTCAGAGTGATGCTCTTCTTGGATCTTATCGAGTTGTGCCATCTTACATGATCCCGTGAAAGACATATTGTACTACCACATTGGAATGGAATGTTCTTTCAATTGATGTAGTGAACATATCTCAAGGCCCCAAATGGGCAGTAGTCACTGGGCTTAGTGCTAGCTATAGGAAGCAATGTTTAATTTCATATATCTGGAATGAATCTAGAGATCACATCTCTAATACCAATGTATGTATGAGGAATGAGCGTATATTGTCCACTACTCAACACCTATGCTACTGTAATGCCAACAGACCCCAGTTGTCAGCAGGCAGGATTGAACCTGGGACCTCTGGAGCTTAGTGCATGAGCTACCACATAAGCTAAAAGCCAACTACCTGTTTAAATAAATTAATTGAGATATTCTATCTCCTAGAACTGGAAGGGACCTTGAAAGGTCATTGAGTTCAGCCCCCTGCCTTAACTAGGCAGGACCAAGTACTGATTTTGCCCCAGATCACTAAGTGGCCCCCTCAAGTATTGAACTCACAAGCCTGGATTTAGCAGGCTAATGCTCAAACCACTGAGCTATCCCTCCTGTTAACTAAGGCTGTAGAGCAGACTCATTCTTTTCTCTCCCTCTCTCCCTCTCTCTCTCTTCTCAGTACCACTAGGACAGAACACCACACCCAGGAGGTGTGTGGGTTACACTACCTCATGCCTTTTGGGGTTCTGTGCGCCCAACACAGCTCATATGCTGCATCAACAGATGCTACAGAACAGTCTGATCTCTTGGATACATATACATTTTATTGGGGTTTTCATAAGATTGTATTGGCAAATTCACACCATTTCAAATAAGAAAAAAGGTATATGTGTGGGAAGCGAGGATTAGGGTTTTCAGAATGGCTGATTAGTCACTGACAGTTTAAGTGGCTATAGTAAAAACATTGCTGCTTCTTGTAGATTTTAAGTATGCAGTATTTCCTTGGGTTATATGCATGGTCTGCTTTATTAAAATTGAACAACCATGTAAATATTTTATTCTCTTTATAGGCACATGTTATATACCATACACTCAATGCAGTGACACAATGTTAGACACTGATCCTGCAAAGACTCAAGAATGTGCATAATTTTATTTATGTGAGTAGTCCCTTTGAAGCCAATGGGCCTGCTCACGTGTATGAATTTAAACAGCCTTAGACTCCAAAATGTATCTTCAGTTTAAACACACAAACAAAACAACAGTAGTTCACCTAGACTAAACACAGAAAACAATTACAATAATATTAGTCTAGAATGATCATCCCCTTCTGTGCTGAGACCCACAGGAAGAAGTCCTGGAGAGAGAAAATCTTCATGCGTATGTCCCAGACTCTTCCATCACCTGAACATTATCCTGTTGGGGTTTGCACTTTATGAAAAAGGTGGTGTGGCATGCCCCCAAAATTGGGTTTCTTGGAGGTCCATGGGAGTCCAGGGCCATCTGCATGGGATTCTTGTGCCTTTGCACCAGCTCTGGTCTCTGTTGACCTCATTTCATGTGGAAGTGGGGAGATCCACAACCTAAGGGTTCCCTGTGCACGCAGAACTAGGGGTTATGATCTGACCCATCTGTCTTCTGCATTAAAATATTAATATTATATGTAAACCATAATATATATAGAATGTGTGGAGTGCTGAGCTGCTATTTCTTGTAGCATCTGGACATTAACCTTGCTTGGTTTCTGAGATCTCACAAGATTAGACACCTGGGGAAATGAATTCTAATCCTGGTTCTAACACGGACGCATTCTGTTTTATTGGATAGGTCAGAACTTGCAGAGTAGTTACATGCATTTGACTCTCTGTGTTTTAGATTCCTCCTCTGTAAATTGGGTCTGAAGATACTTACCTTGCTCATATGGCTGTTGTGATGATATAGTGTAAAATATGAAATAATAATTAGTACTATAATTATGTATTACTTATTTTTATTATTAGTGAACTCTCCAAGTGAAATCCTGTTTTACATATGTTTTCAGCCCTAAAACTGATGGATATTTGGGTTTTTGTTTTGAATGTTTAGTGAAATTCTATTGGAGAACCTGGAAGAGATGGAAGTTCCAAGAAGCAAGTTGAATCTGCCATCCACAGTCCCTGTCTTGGAAAGTGACTCGGGGAAAAACAAATGGCATCACCAGGGACATAACCTCACCATTAACTTTGCCACCTGGATTTGTGGTGGACCCTGGGCTGAAGAGGCTTTCAGATCACTTCAGACCTGACAATGAGGTTTTTAACAATTTACCTGAACAAAAGTTTAAGACTGTTACTCTTAGAATGTCTGTTTTGGAGGATAAAGTCTCAGCATTAGAGGCTTGATTTAGTATTTACTGAAGTTACAAAAGAAAATAAAGAAGTAAAGAACAGGATGGACCTTTTGGAGTACAAGCAATGCACAAGAAAGCTTAGTAGGGTTGGTGTTCCTGAGTTCTTTTGTCTTGAAAGATCCTATAGCATCCTTTTCCAAAGTGGTGCCAGCGGTACTGGGATTGACTCCCTCTGAGATCTTTCTTCTAGAATCAGTGAGATTTTTGCTTCTCTTGTACCACTGACAACCTGCTGTGAGGATAATTCTCATTACCCGTTCTGCGCTTAACACAAGAAGTAGGATTTTGAAAGCCTCCAGAATCTTGAGTGAAGTAAGGTGTTAAGGAAAGAAAGCAAGGTTATATCCATAGCATGCCACTAATCCAGTAAAGAAAACAAACGCCTTTGTGGCTGTGAAGAAAAAAACTGCACAGCATTTTGCCTTATTGTCACCTGCAAAACTGAGGGGTCCCCATGGTTGCAACAAATGTTTATTTGGACCTGTGGCTGATATTAATCATTTCATAGATCAGTGTATGGCTGAATTAACAGAGTAGGTGAAAGAGGCAGATTCAGATGCTGTCCATTGAAGATTTAGGGCCATATTGTACTCTGACTTAACCCAGTGAAATACCATTGACTTCAGTGGAGTTTCACAGTGCATGAGTCAGAACAGAATTTGTCCCTTTAGAATAATTACGTATGTGTGCAACAACTACTGAAGTCAGTGGAATGTATATGTGTATCTGAGGGATGAATTTGTCCCTTAGACCTTTTGCTCTGAAAAATATGTGACTTGCTTTAAAAGCTTTCCCCTTCAGATTGTTTGGAAGTTTCTATATTCGTTGAAGCATGCAGTATGATTCACACACTCATACTGCCCTAATTTGCTTTCTAGACATCTTTTAGTATACAAATAATTAATCATGCCCGGTACACATTCAGCACCTTTCATATAAGGTTCTCAAAATACTTTACAAACAGTTAATTAAGCCTCACAAAATCTCTGTGGGATACGTGTTATCTTCATTTTACAGATGGAGAAGAGAGAATTGAAAAGGACATTTTGGCCCCACTGAATTCAATGGGAATTTTGTCATTGACTTCAGCGAGGCCAGGATTTCACCCTTTTGTGCATAGATCAGATTGTCATGGTTTCTTCTGTCTAGTCAGTTACTTAATCAGTTTCCACTGTTTGGCTCTCTCTTGTCACTGCTTGAGAGAACCACACAAACATTTTTTTTTTAAGAAAAAACAGAAAAATGTGAAGAAACCACAATAATTGGAAGGGGGACTCTGGGGAAAGTGTATAACCTGAAAATATTTTTAATTCATTTTTTTTAGCTTAGTAAATTTCAAGTGGATGCTGTGTGTGTCTGTCTGTCTGTCTCTCTCTCTCTCTCACACACACACACACAGCCCGCCTCCCCACCACACACACACACATGCACACACACCTCTTGAACCAGTGAAAAAGAAGGGACTTTGTCTCAAATTTTCAAAAGTTCATGGCTGTCTGTGTGCAGATTAGGTCTATGCAAAAGTGCATGGACACACTTTGGAAAATCTGAGACCATGTACCCAAAATTGTATGTATAATAATGTGTTTCATTCACCTGCAATAATGTAAGACTTGTTTTGTTGTTGAAAAATTATTAATTAAAAATGTTAAAAGGTCAAAGACTAGGCTAGTGTGATAGTAGAATACAGGGAGCATGTTGGAGAATAGAGAGAAATGTGGTGGAGAAATTAGGAAGCATCCATAAAGTTCTTTATAGATAGCTCAGGAGAGAGATGTGATATTTCATGCTGAAATGGACAGAGAGCCACTGAAGATTTATGTGAAGAGAGTGGTATGTTCCAGTTAATATGAATGAGTGAGCAGAGAAGTTGTAACAATTACATTAGTCAAGATGCTGAAAATTCAGAATAGCCTGCTGCATCCATGTAAGGCCACAAATGCAGTGGAAAATCATGTTTCTGCTGTGCAAGAGGGCTAAGCAGCAGAGAACCAAAACAGTTGGACTGTACCCCTTTCTGTATGTTCTAGAGCACAGAGGTTTTCAGTGGGTCCATGCATGGTACCAGAGAGTGGTAGAATGTGGTCAAATCGGGTTGTGGCCAGTGGGAATTGTGCACGGTCTAGATGTACTGGGCCAACCTGCCATATGAAGGAACAGTGGACTGTGCTTGCTGTCCCCCTCACTCCCTGCAGTGACTGTGGCTTGGTCATGTCATTTACTGCATATTTGAGATAGGTATTCCAATCTCTGAGTCCCAGGACATTTCTGCCATGTTCATAAGCTCACATCCAGTTTACTTGGGCTGCACATTCTTTCCCAGTATATTGCTCAGTGAAAGTAAATGAAGGTCTACTCTAAAAGAATCTGGCAGAGGAATCATCAAGCTATTGTTTGATGCAGGTGACGTTTTGAAAGAAACAATAGGCAGATTTACATACCTGGGTAATGAAATTGAACAGCACTTCTTTTAACTTTTAAATTACATTAAAATTGATCAGTGCTGATGCTCTTTTTTATGGGTGTTATAACTGAAGTGCTGTTATGCTTTGCTTACAAAGGAATTCCTCTGGGTAGGATAAAATAACCTCATAAAATTCAATTCCTTTATCTGTTTTCATGTACATAATAAAAAAACCCAGCTATTTATTTAAACTAACCACACAGCTCCAACATTTCATTTTTATGATGTATAAAATAAGCTTGTCTAAGGTTTGGGATGTTTTGAACTATACATATATGCTGTAGATATAAATAGAATTTTGTTCTTAGAATGCTGCAATATTTTTCTCTCTCTGAGTTTTCATGGAGAAGGGTATCTTGTTGTGGCACTTGTTAATATTACTTGTTTAACTGCTTATTCAGCACCTTGAGGCAAGTAGATCAATCTAATTTGTACATTATGAGTAATGCTTTAAGTTCTACAAATATACATGCAGTTACAATAAATTGTGTACTAAACAGACAAGTAGTATGTCTTCACGTGAAAGGATGGGCTTGTAGTGGGGAAGGATGGTTTTACATTTACTATACTAGACAAGGGTTCAGGAGATCTAGGTTCACTTCATGGCTCCCCCAAAGACTTTCAGCGCATTCTTGGGCAAGTCACTTAATTTTTCTAAGCTTCAGTTCCCTGTCCAGTCAGGGTAATAATATTTCCCTACTTTATATTAACGAGTATTAAATGCTCAAATACTTCAGTGATTGGTGTTGTATAAGCTATATAGGAAGTATATAACCCATAATTAGATTTGGTTTAATTAAAAACAAATTATTTGACACATTTTGACTTTTATATTATTCATAAATAATTCACAAACCAATCCTAACATTACACAAACAAATTTCATGCTATGGGTTGTTTGCAAATTATTCACTGTCCCTTTTGCTTGGAGAATTTCTGTGTTGTGGGATTGGTCATATAAGGATACATCTACACAGCAACAGATATCCGCAGCTGGCCTGTGCCAGCCGACTTCGGTTTGTAGGGCTCTGGCCATGGGACTGTTGCACTGTAGCGTAGACTTCCGGGTACGGGCTGGAGCCTGAGCTCTGAGATCCTCCCACCTCGCAGGATCCTAAAGCCTGAGCTCCAGTCCGATCCGAAAGTCTACACAGCAATGAAACAGCCCTGCAGCGTGAGCCCGAGTTGGCTGGCACAGGCCAGCCATGGGTGTCTAGTTTCTCTGTAGACATACTGATTCACCTGCGCACAAATAGAGGTTTAGGAATAGTGCACTTTCAGTATGGGATGTTGGGCACATAATTGTTGATGCTAAAATTTTGTTAAACTTTTGGGATTGGCAAACATTTTTATGAATAAGCTAGCAGTCATTAATGAATACCATTACTCCACAGATCACAGCAGAGCAAACTTAGCATGTTTATTCATGAAAATAGTTGCAAACCATTTTTTGTATTATTCAGCCAGCTCTAACCATGTCATTCCTAATGTTTTCCTTTAAAAATATTCATATTAATTATGCATCTTCCAGGGAATAGGCAAATTACGGTATTTTGTTTATTACTCAGCCACCTCCAGCCATGACATTCCTAATATTTTCATTTTTAAATTTATTTATTCAAGTTGAATTTGCATCTTTCAGAGAAATATGCACGAGGTTATAAACTAACTATGGATGTGTATGGTGCAAAGCACATCTTTATAGGTGGAGCTGGTGATGCCTACAGTTAACGTTGCCTCACACTTTTCATTATAAAACCCTGTTTTCAATTGCTTATAACTTTTCCAAACTTTAACCATTTGGGCATTCTATTTTTCTAAGTTTTCTATTCTGAGTGCCGGATTTCCTTCCTTCTCTCTCTCCAAAGTTTCAGCTAAAACAAGGTTTAGGGAAACAAGGTTAGGGAAAAAATATATTGTTTTGCCCATGTTAAAAATTTCTTAAACCTGTTGAAGTGCAAATTTCTAGCGCCCCCACACTTTGGAACAGAGACTTGAAATCTGCCTGCGGATTGTTTTGGTGTTGGAATTTGCTTTTTACTGTTCCCATAAAAAGCCACCTAAATTTGGCTAAGTTATAATCAGGGTGCATTGATGGATTTAAATAATTGGTTTTAATCATGATTTATATCAGCAAGCAGGAATGTTTTATTTAAATAATCAATTTTAATCTTGTTTTGAATTTGTACTTCTTAGCTATTTTCCTAAAGAAAGGTTGATTCTTATTGGTTGGTAACCATTAAAATAAGTTGATTTGCAACTAAATATAGGTTTTACACTAAATTTTGGTACTATATCGGTACACATTTCTTTAAGCTATTATGTGGCTTAACTTACATTTATTCAGATTCTTAATTTTTAGGGTTTTTTGTTATGATAGAAAATGGTAAATGATGCATTTGTGATCTCCTAGATTAATTTTTTACCCATGATTTGTGTCAAGCTCTGTTTGGATGGAAATTGGAATTTAATTAAAAATGCAAAAAAAAGCATTTATATTTTTTCATTAAATAAAACTACCTTAAATGTTTATAAAAACATGTTTTGCATATAAAACTGATTACTAAAAAAAAAGTATTATATACTGGCTATGAACCAAGCTCCTAGGTGCTACAATAATACAAATAATAATAATCTGTGGTTATAGAATTAACCTAATAGTCCGGTCACCATGTTATTCAAGCTTTAGAACTAGTAGATCTCCTCCTTTCTCATTTTGTTTTTATTCAGAGATTGGAAGAGGAAAACCAGCTTTTTTCTTTTTTTTCTAACTCCCAATCAGTTTCTTAACTTTGAGTTAACTAGTCATTGAACTGACCTAGTTGAATAAACTGGGTTTAGGGGCCTAGTTGAATAAACAAAGAAAATATTCTCTCTGTACCTTCTGAAAAAGCAACTGTAGTCAAAAGTTGATTAGCACTTCAACTGCTCTGGTTCCAGTTCAGTGGTTTGAATTTTGTTAAAACGTTGGCAGCAAACATGTATTGCTTAATGTTATTTTTAATTTAATTTAAAGTATTTCAATAGATTATAGTTAAGTGTAGGCCTTAAAATTTGTCTTCTTTTTAAAAATAAACCTATTTAAAAATAGAAGTGTTTTTAAATAACAAAAATCCAATTTAAGAATCTCTGATTTTTTTAAAAAATAATTGATTTTTATTCACCTGGTTAATAATACAAAACCAGGGAGGTAGTAATTCTGTTTTGTGCCGCCCTGATGTAGTCACACATGAAATACTGGAGGCAGTTCTGGGTTTCACAATTTAGGGATATAAAAAGACTAGAGATGATACAAAACTGGTAACAGGTAATGAATGAAGATGAAGAGATATGGTATGAAGAGAAACAGAAGCAACAGTATTAAAGAGAAGACACAGTGGATTTATGATCACAGAGTATACATACTTTCAAGGGAATGGTATAAATGAAGGAAGGGAATTATTCACACTCTTGGAAGATGGAAGGACAAGGTGCAATGGCCTGAAGCTAAAGAAGGAAAATGTTAGTCGTTAGGAAAGAGTTCTTAACTATCAGAGCAATTGGGTAGTGAAATAGACTGTTGAGTAACCATCACTGCAGATATGATGTTAATGAGCATAATATAGTTGAGTATTCTTGCAAAGTGCAGTTGGTCTCAGGCTAGATGACCTATGTGGCCTTTTCCATCTGTCTATGATTTTATGAACTTACAAATGTCACTCCAGCCCAAGCTCAGTACATCATCCTCAGCACCTCTCATATGCTCCCTCAAATACCATTCATGTTTTTGTAACAGAAAAACATCTTGGAATCACTCCTGTTCTCAGGAGCAGAATTCCCAGTAACTTCAGTAGGAGGATCAAGCCCTTTGCATTTTCCATTTACGTACATTTTTCTTTGTTTTAGATAGATAATTTGCCCAGTAGTAATCAGAAATGACTTCATAATAACAGCTATTCTCTCCTCTGGATTTTCCAGTATGTCCTGTCTTCTCTCTCTCTCTCCTCTCTCTCTGCCTTTTTGTAAGCTCTTTGGGGGCAGGGATCATCTTTATCCCTGTGTCTTGTACAGCACCAGGTGCATTGTTAGTGCTTATCTAATAACTCTAATAGAAGTTGGGGGTGAGGGTTGCCAAAGAATGCTCAATATCCTTTTGTTAGGAGATACATTAAAATTGTAACTTGTTACATTATTCCATTGATAGGTGTCTGACATGCTGCTTTATATAATAAAATAGATTATATAGAGAGCAAGATATTAAAGATGTAGCAAACTAATATTTAATTTGGGTGCTGCATACAAAGACCACTTGTGGCATAATAATATCCCAAGGAAGAATATCAGCTATTTTGGAGAAAATAACAATATTTGTTGTCCCTAACTGCTATAAAGTATAGCATTTATGTAAGTTTCTCTACTTATTTTTTTATTACAACAAGAAATGCAGCTGTAATTTGTGTTCTTACTTTTATTAATGACATTTTCATTATATAGGCATTACTGTAATTTACTAATGGGAAATAGCCAGTAAAGGCTGCAAACAGAGAATGTATAGTACAATAAATAACATTTTATATTTCTGAAATGCCAGAATGTTTTACAAAATATTACCTGAACTACTGAGATTGCTCTTCTTTTAATTGCCAGACAGCCTCAGCAAACTGTCATTGTTAATTGAAGCTATTCTCTGAAATAAATCCTTACAGCTGAATTTTGATAGTCTGCAAGATTCATTGGAATTATGCTTACACAACTCTGGAATATTTCAAAAGTTTCAGTTTTTAGAGTGCTGTTTGCCTAATGTGCATAACTTATTACAAAAGCATTGATTTCCTATTTCTCACTAGGCCGAGTCCATTCTGACGGTCTGGTACACTGTGCTCTCCAAGCTGTCAATCCAGAGGGGCATTGCACATGCACACAACGGCCCCCATACTACCACTGGGCAGTGCAGGGAAAGTGTGATATTAGTTACCGTCATCATGTTGTGGATGGTAGTGATTCTAGTGTGTGTGATTTACTGTAATTGAATAACAGGTCATGATGTTTTCATAATATTTTTCCTCATCTGATTTATTTGTTTTTTAATTTTAACGTGAATTGATTGATGGTAAAAGGTGGCAGATTGACAGCCCTGATGATGGAAGCTGTCTACTTAACTACAGATTAGGTACATCACAGGTAGTGACACTGCATACTTCCGGCACACTGTACTACTGCATGATCTGTAAGGACCACATCCAGGGGTGAAGAGTAGTGCAATGCCACTCAGTCCTTGGGCTCCCTGCTGAGAAGGATGGCAGTTAGTGTCTGTTGGATGCTGCTTTGTTATTAATCTTATGTGGAGACATTTTGGTGGTGCTCATGACCATACTATACCTCACCAGTGTTAGTTAATTAAGCCTCACAAGCCTCCTGTGGACCAGAGTAGCGTGTCTAGATAAGGAACTGAGGAGCAGACATGTTACTTAAGGGGTGTTGGTTCTAAAACAACAGGATATTGGCGCTAGCCTGGGGTGA